TTTTTTGAAAGAGATTTCTGGAAAGAGACGCTTCCCTACTACTTACGGTATTTTAATACTGACGTTGTAGCTAATGCCCCGTAGAGCAGGGTTCGCAGTCAATCTGAGAAGTCCAAGAAATGGTTAAATCCCACTGTACAGCAGAGACAACAGGATGAACCATGAGAATAGAGTTTATGCAGGACTGTGTGAACTGCTGCTGCCGCTGCTGCTGCTGCTGCTTGTGTAAAAATAGATGGCAATACATCAAATCCACAGCTTCTGCTGGCTACAATTCATAAAGGAAAAAAATAAGAAAAAAAGTCAAGCAGCCCCACAGTAATCTCTGGAGTATAATGCGAGGTTTGAGGATTTCTGCATGTTTGCATTCAGCAAAATGGAGCATTACCTGAAAGTTCGGGCAACTTGCGAAGCGAGGCAAACTTTCTTTGGACCCCATGGAGAGGAATCCCAAATACAGGCCTGCTCAAAGGAACTAATCCTCTGGCTTCAGGCTCGGAATAAGCGCTTAAAATGCTCCCCTTGGGCAATGGGGGAGGGAAAAACAGGTTACAGGCAATGCTTTTTAAATAAGATGTTCACGTTGTAGAGAGCTACCCATTTAAAGTTTCCATGTTCTCCAGTAAATTTTTTTCTATCTGGTAGAGCATGTGTGTGGATTCTCAAGTCGTTTTGTCATGTTTTTAATATTTGCAGCTTGCCATTGTATCCGCAGATTTCTGTTTGCATATTGTAATTGGTCTTATCTTGTTTTGATTTCTTGGTAAAGTGGAATAGATATGGATAATTCATATGTCCTGTAGCTATTATAAGTCAAGGCAGTAAGTGGATGACTTTCTGGCTCCAAAGTCCTAATTGTTTCTGAGTAGCTGGAGTATCCTGTGGGTTGTTGTCTGGCTCGTAGCATGGGTCTCATCTGCCGTAGCTTCATTTTCCCATCATGTATTATTCTTAATGCTGCTAGGAACTGATTGTGGAACCAGCTTATGTGGAAATACTGAAGATTTATTTTAATCACTAGAGTTCCTGCAGTAATTTCAAGCTAGTAACAGAATAGATAATTCATGTCAATGACTTTTTCATAGTGCAGAGAGGGGAAAAAAAAAGAACCAAAAAAAGAGTTTGATCTTAATATTAATTGTGTGGTGGATGGATTAACTGTGGGTATGAATTTGCCAGTGTGCTCCTGCACTGCACTTCCTGTAGCAACACTATCATCTGCGTGCTGCTTTGGCTCAGGGGATCACCTTTACTGAGCTAAAATAACGCAGGCAGCAAGTACTGGAGGCAGCTTTCATTTTTTGAATCATTAATATTTGCTGTCAATGTAAAATGTATTATATTCTCGCTCACATAATGACAGGACGGCGTGTTGTTTAATAAAGGCCTGCATCGCTGTAGCTGATCAGCGTCCCCAGTGCTTCACAGCTTAATGAAGGTGATGTACAGTAAGGTTGCAAAGATTGATAGAGAGAATCCACATGACACACATTTTGTCAAGTCTCTCTTTCTTTCCTGAGTTCATCCCCTTGGCACTTTGAAAAACTTGTTAAAAATAAAACAAAGATTATATTTTCATTAATATAATTAATATGGCACAACTCCAGTCTTCTTCTTCTTTTTTTTCTTTTTTTTTTTTTTTTTAATTTACCTTCAAAGGCGCAAAACCAGCCAAAAGGTTAATAGGTTAATGGAGAATTATACTTAATTATAATGATTCATTACCATCAGTGCAGTTAAGCTAATTTACTGTTTGCGCCTGAACTAAGAAAAAAGGTCTGTTGGAGTGAAATAACGCACACTAATTAGCCTTTTGTGTTTAGTGACTGCTTTATCCTCCTAAATGTTACTGTAAAATGAGGGCTATACTTATGGAATAACTATCATATCAAATAACAGTGGAAAGACAGTAAAATGTGTGGTAGCAATGCAGGTGCACCTGTTACAGATGTATAGGCAAACAGCAAATATCAGCATGTCAGATGAGGACAGTTTTAGGACTTGGAGTGTTAAATCTGGCATCATCCAAAGGCCAAATATAAATTAATAACAGGAACACTTGCTGCTAATGTGTCTCAGATTAATGTGCTCTGTGTGCTCAGAAGCATAATGTCATATTCAGAAACATTGATTTTATTATCATGTCAACATTGGCAAGGCATATATACTTCATTTCAGCAGTTACATTTTTAGGTGACATCGCAGTCACTATAGGTAAATGAAAGCTGCAGTAAGCAGGATATTTTTTTAATACCATTGTTTATGTTGCTTCAAAAGCCCGCTGTAGGAACTTTAAAAATGCAGATTACCAAAAGTAAACATGTTTAAGTAGGTGGTTCACAGGGTGAAGCTATTTTTATAAATGAAAGCAGTAACAGATCAGCAGGATACTTTAGAAGTCTATGGCATCAGTTATAAGCTACTGACCTCCAGAACACAAACCTGAGAATGATGCTGAGAATCTACCTTTTCAGTCAAAAACTAGATTATCCTTTAATGAGATCAGAGATTTCGGCCAAGCATCAAAAAAGGTCAACTCTGTATTATAAGATTGCTGCCAGAAGGTTGTGCCTCGCACTGAAGAAGAGGAAACTCTCTAATTTATTTTTTTTATAGATTTTTTTTTTTTTGTCTTACACTCAAAATTATGGTTATAAAATCCAGATTAAAAAAAAGAAGTTAAGATTACTTAAGTGGGATTTTTGACTTCTTATAGTTCTACAGCCCCTTAAATAATAGGAAGAAAAACAACTGCTATTCCAGAGCCTCGTTTTGCAACCTCTCAGCTTCCTTGCCCCTTGGCCTACTCTATGATTATCTTGTAGTGTCCTGGTGGATGTAGAAGTTGTCTGGTAAATTATAGCTCACACCAGCTGCACCGAGTCTTTGTGCCAACAGACAAAATCTTTGCTCACGGCTGCGCTGCTGCATCCAGCCCGTGCACTGCAGACACACCGAGATTCCAGGGACAAAAACCTCAATGAAGTGCACCTTCAGCAGCTCTGGCTTGCATTGTTGTGAAAGGCGGTCCTTGCGAGAGCGACACAGCCAGTATTGAGCAGTGCACATCCACGGACACTGTTAGTGCCCTACAGACACCTGCCTTCAGAAAGTGGCGCTTTCTCCATTGACTTCAGCCCAGGTAGAAGTTGGGCAATCATTCTAACCACCCAGTCAACTGACAGAGGAGTTGAGGAGGTCCTGCTGTTGGCCATCCTTAACACAGTGCTAGAAATACTCACAGTAGATGCCTTTAGACTCAGTTGACTTCAGATGGCTTTTAACCATTCAGTGCCTGGTGCCTCTGCAGCTCCACATGTGCTTTGCTGTGTGCCCATATCGACGTAGATGTTCGGAGATGAGTTACAAGGATACACGGTGCAGTGCCGTAGGAATTGCTTAATTGAGCAGCATTGACATATGGGACTCGGCTATTTGCCAAACTGTTACTACGTGTTTTCTATAATTAGGAAATGGTTTTGGTGGATACTCTAACATTTCAATTGCTGTGTTGAAGTGGATGTATGTTATTAATTTTTTCTTCCATAGTAGGTCAGTCAATATCCTATATAGCTTTGTATTGTCATATAAAAGGAAACTTACTCCAAGTTTGTTATTATTTATCCTCACTCTCTTCCTAAGTTGTGCAGACAAAAACATTTTGGATTGCTGAAGAGTATTCCTGCAGACTAAACTTTGCTAACTGCCTCAACCGAAATGTTTCACAGACCGTCTTTTAGGATTACTGAATCGGAGGCTGCTAGAAGAGGAAAACCCATTTGGTTTTCTGATTACAGCTTCTCTCTGGGGATATTTAGGAAACCAGCTAGGATAATAGATATGTTCACACCAAGCAGGTGAAAGGCTGCGTGAACTAACTATGCCAATCACTGAGAGGAGAATATAGGGATATTTCAAGCCACACTTTGGTTGCCAGGACCCTTGTGCAAACCTGGGTGGCTGTGGTTTGTGCATCAGGAAAGGAGTACAGCAGCGCCACTAACCCATAGGTTTTTTTGCCCATATCGTAGCCACCATCATGAATGGCTGTACGAATTACAGTAAGGTTCTGTAGAAGTGAAAGTGTGACCGTCTCCAGCTTGAGCTAGCCTCCAGGGCTGAGGGCTGTAACAGGCTGTGCCTCTTTAACCTGAATGTATCAGGAAATGCGTGACAGACCTTGCCCAGAGGTATTCATCTGTAACTTCTACCTGCACTGGTTCACTCTGAAAGGAGAATAAGGCCATGCTTTGGCCTCTGCTGTTGGATTTAAAGCTTTGAATCTGATCATTATCAAATGGCATAGGGAGAAGGAAGGTCATTGTCCCTGGACAGAGATGTGATAGAGAAGGCAGCTTATGCCCTGCTGTTTTCCCTGCCCCTTTACATAGAGCTAACAATGACCAAATACTATGTGTTTCTTTTTTCAGAAAACAAAGTCAATCCCAGTGACCCTGTGCCACAGCTTAATTGAGGCTTAATTCTTATCACATGATATTAGTTAATAGATTCCTGGTAATTAATGAAACTATTTCTGTGGTTCTGTATCCTGCAGTGTGCTGCTCTGGTTGGCGAAGACCAGCCTCTTTGCCCAGATCTCCCAGAACTTGACCTCTCTGAACTAGATGTGAACGACCTGGACGCAGACAGCTTTCTGGGGGGACTCAAGTGGTACAGCGACCAGTCAGAGATCATCTCCAATCAGTACAGCAATGAACCCGCCAATATATTTGAGGTAAGGCAAGGTGATGCAAGTGCATGTTGCAAAGTCCTTGCTTGCTTTTTTTTTTTCTGATTTTTTTTTTTTTTTTTTAATTAGCCTGGTGGACAACAGTTTACTATTTTTCCGCCATTAAGAGACAAGAAAACTGCTGGTGTATTTCGGGTTCTGACTGGTTCCTTTAATCCTCATGAGCGAAACCAGACCTGCAACCCTGAGGAGTATGGGGGAGAAGCCTTAAAAGGATTCAAATGGAACTTCTGATTTTTGAGGGGAAACAACTAAGGAGTGCCTAGAGCACACTGCCCTGTGGTGTCAAGATGAGGAGTTGCACTGTTGTCAGCTACAGAGCAAAACAGCAGTTGAAACTTGTTTGTTGTCTTCCACTTGAATTCCTCGGCAAGATGCAGAGTGCTGCACAACAGCTAGCTGATGAGTAGCTGGAAGATTTCTAGTAAAGATTTTTACCAGTCATAGCCTTACTGTGCAAGTTACTTGCACACAAATTGATAGGTCCACAATTTGTTTATGTATAGGGGAGAGCAAGGGTGCGTGTGGCAGAGAAGGCAGTGAGGACAGTCAGCAGCTCAGGGACGAGCTCAGCATTCTGATGTCTCATAGATCTCCTGGTGGCGAGCACTCTAAAAATAAAAGTGTGATAGGAGAGACTTAATTGTTTTCTTTCCAATTGTGCATTGGGGGTTAGGTTGTACGAGAGATCAGGGTGTACAAGAGGATTCTGGTGGCTTTATTGCTGTCTTGGTCTTCTTTTTTTTTTGTGTAAAGGTTTCATAATTCTCCACCTTGTGGTTTTGGGCAGCCGTGCTTCTCCTAAACTCTAACCTCCTTCCCTCCTTGTTGATGGGAGAGGCCACAGATCATTCACTGACTGGGAAATTGGACAATAAATTGATAAGCTGGAAGGAAGACCTTGTACAAAAGCAAACTATGGGTGCTGTTTCTTACACAGCAGGTACCACAGCTCCTGGAAGTACAGCTAGCCCACCAGTTTCAGAAAGCCCCTGATTATCATGGTAGAATTTTAAAGGCTGGAAAAAATGAACTGAAATGGTATGGTAAAATGCTTACCTAGGATGTGATGTTCTGAATAAAATTCTCCTTCCTTTGTATACAGCTCTTAAGCCACAGTGATATCCCTGATGCAGATGGTGAACTGCTCTGGATTTAAACCAGTGTAACTGATAGCAGAAACTGGTCTTCTCTCTTTAATTTCTGTAATTTACATCCAAGTAACTTGGAATTAACTTAATTTGAATCAAAATAGCCCTCCAAAGCCTTGTGTTTAAGCCCTCTTTTTTTCTTTAGTTGTATAATGTTCCACACTTTGTTTTACAAAGTTTCCAAATCCCATCGGGTTCTTGAATTGCAGTTGTACTGCCTCAGGCAGGGTAGGGCATGTTGGTGGCAGCGGGGAGGCACGGGGCAGGGTCCACATTTGCAGCAACTGTGCTGGACACTTGTTTTGCTTTTTTTGTAACTGTGGACACATATTTTTTCCACATCCATCAAAATCCAAAAGTGCAGAAGCATTTTCCTGTCGGAAAAATCAGTTGAAGATGCAGACTTTCGAAGTGTAAGTTCCAGATAAGTAATACAATTACGTATTTGCCAAATCTAAGCATACAGATTATTGCAGTAAAACCAATGGAACTTGATCACCTCATTGCTTCTCTTGTGTGTTACTGCCTGTCTGCTCTGATGGCCCCAGCTGCGGAGTATAAAGCTGTCTCAGAAAGGTAGTGACCATTCCCCCACATACCTTGTAGAGGAAACAATTCCTGTTCTGAAAATCGCAGTGTGTTGGAAACAGAGGGACAAGCAGATAGGCTGGTAGTTAACCTCGCTGGGAGATGGTGACAGGGCAACATCTCATGGGCACGTTTGGGTCTGTCTGAGGATGACTGCCCCGGTGTGAGGAAATGGGGATATGTGTGGAGAAACGGGGGCAATGCAGCTGGGGGAATTAATCTACACAGCAAGTAATAGGTCAGAAATAATAGTTTGGAAATGAAATACACTGCTGCTTTTCTCACACTCATTGACTTCAGCTGCAGGCTGCATTGCTGTCTCATCACAGCTTGGCCCATACTTACCTGTAGGGACAAATTGTGCCCTAATGGTATTTTACAGTACTGCAGTGCAAAATTAGACTATTTTCAGCTTCTTAGAGTGTTGCATTTACATTTCTTGGTTGCTTGGCCTAGGAAGATGGGAATGAAACAGTTATTTTCTCCTCCCTTACATTAACCCTGTCCCCATTCTCCACTGTGCAGCTGGATACTTTGCACTATTTCTTGCCTCTGCCGCTCGGTAATGTGACGACTGGGGGTGCTCAAGATCAGAAGATGTCTTCTTCCTCCAGAGACTCTCACATGCTCTGTGAGGAACTATTTCTTTTGCTGAGAGAATGGAAGTTTTGTGTAGTTTCTTATTTGGTAATCACTGGATTTTTAAAAAAGAAAATAATATCTTTTTATACTTTTTTTTTTTCCTTTTTTTTTTTCCTCTCTTGTTATTTTGGGAGTAGTATGTTTTATCTAACTTAAGCTTCCAGATGAGGCATTGTCATACAAAAATAGAAATACAGCCTATTTGGGGTGGAAAGGAAGGAACCAGAATGACAAGGAAATTATGGGAAGTACACAAGCAGCATTACTTGCTCAAGCTGTACGGTGTTAATTCCCAAATCTAGCTTTGAATGAAACACACTCTCCTTTGAGGTATTAATGCAGTACATGTGGCATTGTCTATGTGAAGGACAGTGTCCAAAAGCCCCTTTACAAAGTTCCTGGGTGTCTTTGGTGCACTTCTTTTTTTTAAAGAAAGATTTGTATTTCGTAAAGTGAATTTTCAGTTTTTCTGCAAATCATGTTCCTGAAAGCTCACTTGAGCTGAGCACCCACAATCTCAGGCACTCCCAGTGGCACTGGGAGTCTCACGGACTAGAAATGATTAATAGTTATGGTAGCAACCTGGAGCCAAGTGAGATAAAGGTCCAATTAGTCTAGATAGTATGTAAGTGTTAAGTATAAATCCCTGCTCTCATCCGCTTAGGTGTGATGAGATACTGGCCTTCGCTCTGGGATTAAAACACACCAGTATTTTGCACACACCTAATTCATCTCTGCATCATCCTGCTCACATGCCAGTGTAGCCGATAGGAGTCCCAAATCAAGGCTGTACTGTCCCAGCACAGAGGCTCTTCTTACTGATGTTTGTACTTATGTGCATTATGAATCAGGTGATTTCTTTTTATTGACAGCTTGATGGCTTCCGGTTTTCACCTGATTTTCTTTGCCTGTTGTTTGAAAAAATAAAATGAAGGAGTTCTTGCCCCTCAGGTCACTGTCTATTGACACGAGTTCATGCAAGTAAATAGTTAACAAGTCACCCAAGACCAGTTGTTTAGATGGTTTGCTGCACCATTCACTTTTATGATTTGTTTTTTTGAATAACTAGACTTAAAAAAAATGTATTTGCAAAAAGTTTAATTTGGCTACTTTCAGAAAATCAAAATGGTTAAATTTTCATTCTCAAAGCCAATGCTATGTGAAATTGTGAACAAACATACAACTTGATGTGTCATGAGTGAGAAGGCTTTTTGTTCTTGAAAACTGTTGTCCCTTGAGGCTTCTTGAAATATACTGTACCATATCATGTAAGATTAGTCATATTTAAAATTATTTATGATCCATGCCTAGCATTATGGAGAGGGAAGATAACCACAGTGGATGTTTCTCTTTGTTGGCATTTTTTGCAAGTAACTGAGCTGATGGGAAGAGAAAATTCAGCCTGTAGATAGGCAATAACCTGTTAAACTACAATGAACCTGTGTAAAATCATAAATCTTGTACTTGGCAAAACACTTTTTTTAGCCTTTAAAAGGACTTCAGAAAACCCTCATTGCTTGCCCTTTGGAAGATTTATTTTATTTACATAATTCTATGTTCCAAAGTGATGCTTATCATATTTGATGGTTTTGGTTTTAATTGTTTTATATAGGCATATCCCAGGTTACTTCTCAAGGCCATTCCATGTGCTACATATTTGGAAAGCCTAAAAAGATAACTGTTTTATTGTAGACTGCCAAAAAGGGCTGTAATACAAGCAGTGAGAATGTGAGGAGAGAAAGAAATACACAATGAAATGCAGACTTTCTCTCCCCTGGCAGCAGAGGAATGCATGGAGATAAATGATTTCTTATTTATTTGGAAGGGGTTGTATCAGGGAGATGATGAGTGTTGAGGGAAGCCTTAAACACCACCAGGGTAATTTGCATTGGTTCAGATTATAAAATTGCTCGTGTTCTGTGGTGCTGCCAGTCTCTTTCACCATTGCAGGTTATTCATTCAAGGTTTGTAGCCAGATTGATTAATGAATTACCAGATCTTGCGTAAAATGACTTGGCCTGACTTTTAAACAACCACCAATGTTTTCTTTGTCAGTCTTGTGACTGGTGTTAATGGGTTCCAGAGAACTGAGCCTATATAGACTTTCTGTAGTGGCCTTCCCTAGCATTTTTTCCCCTTTTTAATTTTCTCCAAAACTAGTAGCCCAGGGCAGGCAGTTCAAGGAGATACAATCTCAGGGAAAAAAAAAAAAAAAGTCATAGTAGTCAAATCCTTGATGGCTGATGCCCTTCAGTGCCAAATCAGCATGATTTATCATAGCCATCTATTCAGCACAACAGAGGCTGGAGGTGAGCTGCATGGTGTACCTCACACAATATGCATAACTAGAGCTCTGAACTTTGAAGGAAAGCCTCAGAGCTATTTGCAAAGTGCTGGTGCTTAGTGAATACTAAATTACATTTAGGAAATAGTCTACTGCTACCAGTTATACTTCATTTTTATTCTTGACACAGACACCTAAATCAGAGAACAGTAACATTTCAGAGATTATGGTAGCAGTTTGGGTATGTTCCAACACTATAATAGGATCAGAATTTTAAGGCCTTTTTTATTATTACCAATAGTCACTTAGTTTCTACTGCAGCGTACTTTGTAGGGAATTACAGCTTTTACTAAAAAGATTAAAATGCTATTATGCAAATGATTGCAGTATGTTATTATGTTTACAAATTAACATACATGGCTCAACACACAAATTAACTAACTATTCCATCTATATTATTAAGGATTTAATAAAGTAACTGTTGATAAAAATGAGAAGCTTGGAACAGTTAATAGGAGCTGATTGTGATTTAACATAGAACTTAAACATTGTGTTTAATGTTCTAGATGGCATAATGGCAGAATAAAGCTTATCAAAGTGCTTGAAAGGACTGTGATTGTGTGCACCACATAGCAGCCTGTCTGAGGCCCCGGGGGGCATGAACAAAACAGCTCTGGGCAGTAGCGTAGAGCATACTGGTGAATCTGGAAGCAATACAGGACCAGGTTGTATCAACATGTACTTCCCTGCTCTAATAAGTAGGCTTTTCTGAAATTCAGATTCATGCAGATTGATTGTTTTACATGATAAGCACATGTATTTGGGAACTTGTGTCCCTCTATAATGCATCCTGTAATGAGCTGCTTCCATGGCAAATTGGATTTCATTGCAGAGAATATCACTGTATGGTAAAAAAGGGGAAGGCTGAATTCAGTCTGAGATGACTTTACAAACATTCCTGCAAGTTGTTATTCCTAACAGTTCATAAGAGATCATAAAAGCAAACAGATAAGAGCTGCTGAGGTCCTAGAGAAATGAATGTACAGTATGTGGTTATGGGTTAGATTTAATAGCGAAACAGACAACGTCATAGGTTTAATACAACAATAAACATAAAGGGCAAAAGATGCAGATTTGGGATAGGAAACTTTATAAGAATGATAAAAGGTAACAATGTATCATAAAGCCTACTTGTGAAACTAGGAGAAGACCCTCATTTCTAGGGAAAGAAAACAGCAGACACTTGACAAAAGTGCCTGACTTTTTATATTCCTAATGGAGCAATGTCACATTTCTTGTGTGTTTGAATACATTACCTTTACGAGTGTCTGTGGCCTGACTCAGGGCTCTACATCTGCTCAATAGGAGACCAGCACAATAACATCCTGTCTATGTGGGATGATGTATGTAAACGATAATCTATGATTAGCTATGCTGACATTTAAAAAGGCTCAAGCAGTAAGTGGAATTTATTTTATTCAAACCAGCTGCTATGTAATTGTAAAGAGTTTATGCAAATGTTCTGTATCTAGTGTTACCAAGGTGTGCTGCTGCTCCTTTTTTTCTTTCCCTCTTGGACAAACTACAATGCTTTAGTGCAAGAACCACCTGGCATGTTGGTTGAAACCTTCAGGCAGGAAAGAAGTCCCAAATGAGAAAAAAAACAATTGCTTTGAGAATTTATTGTTTGATGTATGTGGCCACCAAAATGGTTCCCCAGGCACGCAATCAAGAGAAGGCGACCGATCCACTTCACGGTCCCATTAAGGAGACATTTCACCTCCAGCAGCCGTGGCTTGAGATGCTCACTGTGCTGCTGCTCTGTAGAGCACCTGCCCTTTTTCTGAGAGGGAAGACTAGCACTCACCACAACAGTAGTAAGCTAATTAGGTCATTAGATGGATGTCTTGGCCTGTGTTAAAACTAGCCCTTGAGGACATTGCGTTACACTGTGTTCCCACTGGCTACGTAGCTAAATACGAACTGGTGTCAGCTGCCATGCAAACAAAAATGTAATAGCCTCCTTTCACAGAGGTCATCTTAAATCCACTTTGGTCACAGTCACACTCCACATCTGTTTTAGTGAGATGCAGCTTCTTAGGGTGGCGTTTGGACTTCATAAGCACACAAACAACCCAGCTATAAATTGCTACTGCTGGAGTTATTTTGAATAAGTGTATACTGTTTCATATTTATAATGGTGAGGCTTCATAATATTCACAGTGAATATATAACACAGATCAGTTCAACAAGCATGAAATTGTATGTTGTCAACTTGTCACATAAATAGAGCCATATTCTAGCTTACGATAATGTTGAACTAAATATTTTCTCCCTGGAACTGCAGAGAGGGTCACAAAAATGTGGGACAGTAGCTCCGTCTTTTGTTGGAAAAACAATCTCAGACTCATTGCTAGTGGGAATTAAATATTACTGATAAGATTCTTCTGGTTTTTTAATTCCCTATTGGCTTACCAACAACAACAGAAAGTTTGCCTTCCTTAGACAAATGCTAATTGGTTAAATTAAAATTATTTCCATTAATGGTTTTGTTTCTAGTGTAACCTCTTTTCTTTTTTTCCATTGTTGCTATTTTTGCTCAATGCATCGTTGCTAATTGCTACTAAATAGTCCATCTTAACCCTGGCATGCTCTTTCCCTCTTGCCCCATCCCATTTAACATTGACTGGCCCATGACATTTCAGAAGGATAAAATTATCACAAGTTTTCATTTAGGAATTCTTTTTCCTTAGTGCCACTAACCTATTGTGCATGTGTAGGTCAGGAGGAGGAAATTGCACAGAGTGTATTTGTTGCAGGGAAAGTTTTGGTATTGAATCATGATAAACTGCTTTTTCCCCTTGAACAGAGGAAAAATACAAAGAAGAGTTTATATGAGTGTGAAAACTTACCTACTTGTATCTTTTTTTGTACTACTTTGGGTAATACTCAGATGCACTGGAAATTTGCAGCCTTTCTGGAGAAGTGCCCCCTGCCAAATTTATAGGCCTCTTTTTCTCCAGTATCTAATTTTTATTTTGGTAGCTTTGTGCAGGTGCATACAGGATCCTGATGCCTTTGCAAGTGATGGGCTGCAGCCTTGGCAGGCATGGAGATCTGACTGTGTGTGCAGGCACACTCAGCCGTGGAGGCTGGGTTCAGGTCTCGGTGGAAATCATCCCCTTTGCAACGCATAGCTGGTTGCTTTGGCTGAATTTTCCGTTCTGACACAACAGAGCAACAGTCTTGCTTCGTAATGATTGAGAAATTAATTAGCACTTTGTGGCAGTGATGAGTCTGAAGGGCCATGATTGGAGTTTGCTTTTTACCACATGCAGTAATCACTGGGTTTTGTTTATGAATGCACAAACCGAAAACCTATTGAGATTTTGGTGTTGTCATGAAGCGTGAGCTGTGTGATGCACTAGAATAATACTTCCATTTCGTCACACACATCTGTGCTTTTGTGCTTTACTGTGAGTAACACAATGGGGTGCTGGTCCATAATGGGTACTTCTAATCACTAAGATGATAATCAGAAGAACAGAGTATTTTCTGTGAGGAACCGCGGTGGCAGCCTCAGGCAAGTGTTGTTGCCTTGTTGATTTATGACAGGTTTGAGTTGCCTGAACTGCTCACAGCCATCCAGCTTAGCACATAAAGTTTAGGAGGATCATCCCTTCCAAGCATATTATGGGTCTAGAGGTGTCAAATGGGCAGGGAGGACTTTTACTTCTGGCTGCTGCCATATCTGCTCCTTGAAGGCTCAGTGATATTGGATCTTTATCAGGATTTGGAGGGCTTGCCATCAACTGGTGTGAGGGACTGCAGATCTTTCCTACAGGAGATATACTTGAATAAAAATAGAGAAATTGGGTAGAAAAGTTTCTCACCTCTCATCAAGGAGGTGGTGATAATGGTTATCTGGAAGATTGGTTTGGTCAGAGGAGCTTCCACATAAGCTGCTAAAAGAAACGATGGAAGTTTTCTCCTGGAATGGTATTTCACATGGAGGACAAAAATTTTTTTCTGAAGGTTGTCCCAAAACCTTTACAAAAAATCTAATTTTTCTTCTCCCATGTTGCTGTATAAGCAGTGACACAATGACTCAGGAAGCACATCAGAGGCCTTAGGTAATAAATGTTATGGAAGTGAGACAATTCTTACTTTGGTGAGAATGCTGCAGGCTGCGTATTTCCACAGAGCAGTCAGTGACCAGAAGTGAAAAGCAGATATTACCAGAGCCTTTAAACTCTTCTAGTACCAGGGGTTGTTTGTTTCCTTTGGTGGTTTTTTTTTTGCTTGTAAATACGTATCGCTTGGCTGGGTGGATCTAGCAGTGATGTTCTCCGCTCTACCAGGCCCTGTGTGTTGAGACTGAATGAGCAGGGTCTTTGGTCTGTTGGTATCCACTTTGAGGGCTCCTGGGTGAGGCATAAGCAGCCAGGTAGTGCAGGTGACAGTGTGGGTGGTAAAGGATGGAGAATGAACTTGGAGCAGGCAAGGGCTTTGCAGAATCATAGAGTGGTTGAAGTGGGAAGGGATCTCAAGAGGCCATTTTGGACCAACCCAGCCAGTTCAGGAAGGACTGCACGGAACAAGAAGTCAAGGAAATACTTCTGTGTTCCTCTGTTACTGCTTCTTCTCTCCTTGAAATTACTTTATTAGTACTGGTAAGGAGTTTCTGATCCTGTTTTGAAAATCTTGGCCCATAGTCCTAAGCAGCTATGGAATTTCTTCGAGACATTCCTGTATATAGCTAGAAGCCTATCATTGCTAAATCCTAGTTTTCAGAGGAAGATGGGTAGCAGTCAAGTGTTTGCAGTCTGGCCATGGTTTTCATGACAAATTTTCATATAAGGAAACCTACTTGGGCTAATCTTAGCTTCCACAGGTACCGAGTTTATCCATTTTCATGACTTATTGTTGGACTAGTGAAACTGTAAAGTTGTCAGGTTGAAATTGGTGCATATGCAATGATTTTCATACACAAAACATAAGTGCACGCTTCCTGACCTCTGCTTGGATGTGCTCTGTTAGGCATTTGACCCTCCAGGCATACACAGAGGAGCAATATGCTTTTATTTTTACTTGTCTGGGGGAAACATATGCATTTTTGAAATTCTTTTTCTGGTTTTGTGTTTGCTTTACTGTTTTTTCTCTCACCAGGACTGGTGTGGATTTTCTTGGCTGTATTGACTGTCCTTAAAAGCCCAACAATCACTCTTCAGAAAAGTATGAAGACATCAGGCAAAACATTGGCAATTGTCACATCAATTGCATCTGGGAAAAAGCCAAAAAAACTTGTGGATTTTTTTCCTTAGCACTGCAGAAACAGTCATCCATTTCCAGTGAAAGGATGTCAAAGTGCTTCTGCTTGTATGTGATGGGAGTGTTGCCACGTCTCGTCATTCTCTTTGCTGTTGATCCCACTCTCCTATAGGAAGGGTCAGGTCAAATGCTTCTCTGAAGACCAAGTCTCCCATTTGCAGCAGGAAATCTCTCGGGCAGAGAGGATAATGTTACAAAACAGAGGCTAACGTTACAAAACAGCTCTGCTGCCTCTGGCGCAGTCTGGAGCATCACAGACCAATAACTCCTATCATGTCACTCTTGTGGCACCTTATTATCTATGTTTTTCTGTAAACCCGATCTGAGACTGTCATTACCAGTTTCAGGTAGGTGAACACCATCTGGGTGAAATAACCATGTACCAGTGATGGGCTGGAGGGGGCTCTTGTTAGTTAATCATCCCTACCTTCCCATTGATGAGTTAATTTGTCTGTTGAGCCATGGAGGAGCCCCCAAGAGCTCCCAGGAGCCCCTTGGTAAAATTCTGCGACAAATGGAAAGATAGGGATGATTTCACTCTTTTTGCTGGAGTCTTTGCTATCTATGATATTGCTAAATCATCCATAATGCATAACTTTCTATGCAATCTTTTTGTTACAGTTCTGGAGGCATATTACTTCTTTGTGCATTTACTTTTTAAACATTGCCACTGGATACCTAACCCTCCTGAAAATCTCATTCCATGAATTAAGGTTAACTTTTAAGTATTTGCATGTGGCCTTTTAGTAGTTGGCATGCCAAGTTCCGTGGCTGTGATGCTGGGCCATACTCTTTTTTTTTTCTCCTTCAATTATTAAACACTGTCTTTATTACTTGTTTTGTGATAATGCCTAAGAACCCTGTAGTAGGGTTTTTAGGCATTATCACAAATCAAGTAAATAAAGACAGTGTTTAACAACTGAACACAGTTCAGTTATAATATTGAATATATATATACTGAATACATAGTTATAATGTAATAACTACAGTGTAGTAGGGGGAGAGTCTGTATGTACTAGTGACCAGCCCATCCCATTTTTATGCTGTGCGCTTTGAAGTCCGTGGAAGGAGCAAAGAAGAAAAGAGCTAGTCTTTGGGGTTTATGAGTGAAGATAAACTCAACTTACTTTTCCTTCAGAGGCCTGTGAGCACTTTAACCAAACTCCTCTTCCTCCCAGGCAGCTGGAGGCAGTTACAGCCTGCTGAGCTTGCCCAGTCCTGGAAACAACACAGGTCAGAGCTGCAGCTGTGTCAATGTGATGTGGGACTACCAAAACCAAGGAAAAGCTGCTTAAGTAGTATATCCAAACATGGAGACTTAATTATCTCCAAACCTGAGATGAAGAAGAAAACTAAATTAAAAAAATTTTAAAACTCAACTAGGCAAAAACCCGCAGAAGACTAGGAGCTAAGAAATGGAAGATGCTCCGGTCCCTTTGTAACTAGTCAGAGGGGGTGTGTTAGCTCTGATACAGTGTTCTTCAGCAGATCAGGGCGAGCTCTTGCAGGGCCATATATATGCCTCTGCATAGTGCTGATGGCTGCTGTGGGCGAATTTATTAGCTTTCACTCAATACTGATGTTCTTCTGAGGCTCTCCTCTGAGTGAGAGCAAACCTCTCTCTCAGAGGAGCACAGGGACATAGAGAAGTGATGAAGGAATACTGGAGTAGATCTGGAAGAGTGAGTTGGGATCCTACTGGGCTATGAGCTCTAGCTAAAGATGACTAGTGTACCAAAGAGATTCCTGCAGAGTTAGTTGGTATCTCTGTATTGTGTTTTCAGAACTGTGCTGGGAAGGACTATTCGGCGATGTCCTGTACAGACACAAATGATTTCCAGGAATCTGTACTCCACTGCAGTTGGAATCACGTCAGGATCTCCACTTTGGTCAGCTCAAGTCCAGTATGGTCAGAGCTAATAGACCACAGGGGGCTAATTCTCTGCTGGGTCACTAGCACCACTTTACAGAGCTGCTCCTGGTGTGTGCAGCTCTCTGAATTGAAGTGGTCCAGATGTGCTTGAGCTGCCTTTCTGTGGATGCCATCTGCACCCAAGAGGGCTTGTTATGGGAAGCCCCATGACGTGCAGAGGTTTTTCTCTTTCAGGATCTCTCACGTGATGAGACTTGAGAAACTTTGATTTTTAAACCAAGAGCTAAAAAAGGAAAGAGACATGCCCCTAAATTTAAGCCTGTAATAGTTCCTATTTACTAAACCATGTTTTTGAAAATGATGGATATATGTTCTTAAAGATATGTATGTCAGAAACTTCCTAATAAATTGCTTTCATGGGTATTAGTCATTCCAGCTTGAAACATCCAGGAATGCTGCCATCTGAGGGCTGCTATTCCGAGTTGCTCTATGCCCATAGCAGAACTTCAAACTGGACCCTTCCACTTGATCTCTCATTATTCTCTCCTGCATGTTCACTCCAGCTACCCTCCATCACTAGAATGATCACTATTTGCCACAGTTTCTGTCAGCTTGGATTTTTCCTTAAACCAAATTCACAGAGATGACAAAAATCCGCTCATGTGTCTTGTCCTTCCCTATACCTGCTTCTGGGAGTGTAGTGACAGATACCCAGTTTTATTGTGTGCCAGTGTTCCTTCTCTGTTTACAGCAGATTTAAGAGTTTACATTAGGCCACAGTGTTACCTCCCAGTTCCCCTAATTCTATCTGCTGGCAATCCCAGCTATGTGGCTGGGGTGACTGCCCCTGTCCTAAAGGAATTTGTGTCAATTTCTGCAGGGACAAATCCTCCCTGTGCTAAACCGCTTTGCTGTATTTGCTCAAACTCAAATTTTGACAAAGGTGTTCTGTCCACATCCACCAGAAGAGATTGCTTTTTTTTCAGATGCACTTGGAGGTAGATGTGTTGGAAGCTGCCTGTATGTGGCTGATAACTGAGACTAAGCATCTATGTAGCACGATCCATGCCCTTTTCTAATTTGTCTTTGAATGACAAATGTGTCTTCACTGAGTCAGCAAAAGAAGAGATCCTACAGTAGAATTCATTGCCCTTCTATCCCTTTCAAAAGAGTGGCTAGGTTTTCCCAATTCCTCCCCAAAATCTGTCTTTAAAAGAACTCTTATAAAGACATCTCTCAAATGTATTGTGCAGAACTCCATTATATTCTCTAGTCATTTCTAATTCAGGCTCATAATGTGCTGTTATTTCTTTAGATTCCCTCTCAGCAATGCTGGTATATTCCAAATAAAATAAATAAATAAATTAAAAATTTAAAATCTTTGTGAAAATCAAAGTTGTAGGGATTTGGAGATAGTCCACCTTTGTCTTCATCACTGTTCTCCCTAGAGAGTCAGCTCTTAAGAGCTGAGTGGGAATGACCTCAAAAAAGAAAAACAGATTTCATTAGAAACTTCTGCATTTCACACAGACAGTACTGTAGTATAATAACATGCTTTTTTTCTATAGCAAAGGAGTGAAAATGCTCACAGACTTGGAAAACTAGAAAATATTAAAATGTTTGAATACATCTGAATTGTTTCTGTGCAAAGAAAATGCAATTCCTGGTGCCAAATTTGTGCAGTCCAAAACTCCTGGAGATTTCTTTCTCCTGCTGCTTTGGATGTGTGCAGGTGTCCTTTCCGGTTTTTAAAGCTACGCAAGTAACGAAGGGTCAGGGCAACTTCACCTGGTGTTCTTCTCTGGAATCCAGTAATTGTTTTGCATTGGGGTAATCGCGCCGAGAGATATTGGACAAACCCACTGGTTCAGACTCGGTAACTCTTGACTATCTTCCCATATTGTGTTCCATGATTTGGTTAGATTATATCTTATCTCTAACCTTCTTGCTTCAATAAACACACGATACCTAACTTGTCTTCTTCCACCTTATACACAAGGAAAACCATCAGCGCTTAATCTGTTGCTGGTGTTAATGGCACAATTCCTCATCCTAATTCCAGTTCACTCTGCCTGATATCCCACAAATGCCTTTGAGAAAAGCATTTTATCCCTGATACTGTGCCAAAGACACTTTCTTCCTTCATCACTGCTGTTTGATTTTCTATGGGACTTCATAATGACCTTTTTCAGGCTGTGGTAGATGACACAGTCTTACATACAAAAGTCTGCAAATGAGTGCCACATCCCAGGCTGTCACTTTGGCTCTGAAGGTCCCTGGCAGCAGATCCCTGATCCTGAGCTACTACTATAGTAAGCAAGTGTAGTCTCTTCACTAGCAAAGAAAAGAATGGGAAAAGTATACAGTAAAAAAAAAGGAAGTAACACAACACCTTTTTTTAATTTTCTTTTTCTGACTGGAAGGTGGTAACCCATTGGAGACACCCCATGCTCTGCCCTCCTGTAGGCTCTGCTCCTGGGGACCCTTACTCAGTACAGCTGCCATCATGGCAGCCTGATGGAAATCATCAGGGAATGCTTTTGTGATTATTTTTGGTTGCAACGACCATCCAAAGTCTGAAGTAAAATATTTTCCTACTTAGCTGTATAATAATTTGGGAACCTTCTAAGATGAAAGCTCTGCTGAACCCTCAGCTCACTTTCTCCTTCATATCATTCCTTGGGACAAACAAGTCAATATGATTATATGTACAGATAAAGACTTACCGTAGAGGCTTTGGATATTTTCTGGTTTTTGTATTCCCAAAGTAAGTTATGCAAAAAGAAAGCCCAACTCCAGCAATATATTTTGTGGGCCCTCTGTTTTTCCAAGACACTTACCGTGTTATTGTTCTATTACAGCATCTTCCTCCTGCATTTTGGGGGATTGGCCTGGCTTTTCATGTTAAAATGGATGGTCTCTGTGCTCACTTTTGAACTCAATCATGACTGTGTTCCTTTCCAGTGGTCCTGACTTCTCTCTTGCTATAGCCCTGATGTTCTCCCTAACATCTGCTACATCATAGAGGTGCCTTTGTCTTTCTGACAACAGTTACATCTTACACACCAGCCTTGTTCTGTGTCTGTTCACTACTCTCTTTGTGTCATCTTTCTCTGGAAAATTCCGTTCTGGAATGCTAGTATTACATCAGAAAATATTGTGGTGACATTTTCTGTACAAAAACCAGCAAAATCACCAAGTTCTGTGAATGCACAAAATGAGCTTCTTAGCTGTGGGCTGTGACTCCAACACTCTTGACAACCATTTTTTCAGTCTTCTTCTGACAAATAGAAGTTCAGCTGAAAGTACTTAGGGATGGAGAATGTGTGCACTGTTGGTGCTGGTGAAATGTCCTCTGCTTGGAAGGGGGTGGTGGTGTTGCTCGTTGGAGCCCTGCCCTCCAGGGGCATGACTAAGGCCTACAGGCACTCTGACCAGGAGAAGCTGACTAATCTGTGAGCTTCAAATCCCCTTCTATAAAGCGAGGATTATAATCCTCCTTTCTTGATCTCTGTTTGATCTGTGAGTACTTTCTGCAGATACTTTCCCTTGAGATGTGACTGGAGATCATTCAGTGTAGTAGGGGTGTTTCCTTGGTAATGCTGGCATGCTACTTAAAAATTCTAATTGCAGGAGATGGATAATAATGTTAATATTCATAATGAAGATGGAGCATGATTTTTGCTGTATGGCAGCAGAAGGAAAGGCTGAGAGATAGATATCTAAAATCACTGAGTGAATACTTCCAAAAACAGGACTTGCTCAGCAGCCAGGTGACAACAGACATGTTGTTTATTTGACAGAGAGTCTGTGAACTTAACTCCTGACTCAAAAAGAAAACTTGCTTCTCAAATGAAGACATATGGAGGGTTTTAATGGCAGCTTCAAGACATGTGGCTGGGTTATGCCACATGTCTTGTCTTTTGAGTTTAGAAAGACACAGGATGTATATCTGGTGAGTGAATCTGTGAATTCCACCACTATTTAAGAGTAAAAGCATTCCTCACCCTGAAAAGAAAGTAAAAGAAAAATGGTGTCTGAGAGGACAAGCTCTACCAGCTCCAAAGCAGTTGGATGCAATGTCTTCCCAGTAAGGGAAGACACTTCTGTTCAGCTGCATGGATGGCTTTTAGCTTGACCTTGCCCTGCTTTTCTGTATAGAAACTGGCTTCACTCAAAGTGAGATTTTAAAATTATGTTAAAAATTACTTATACTAAAGAGTTGCAGGGAAGGAAGAAGTACTGGAAAACATACTAAAATATGTGTCTGAATCAGTTTCCATTTGATAGTCTCGTTACAGCAATAATCTGGATGCCAAGACTGGTGTAGTACCAGGGGCATCATGTGGAAGGCAGTGGGCAGGAATCAGTGTGCAGAGGCCCTTGCTGCTTCAATCCTGTGATGTTCTGATCTGAGCTCGTACAGGGAGTACCCACAATGGTGTTATCTGCAGAGGTGCAAAGCTGAGGCAACAGCAGCAGCAGGGGTGTTACACCGCATGACTGCTTTCTGTGGTGATGTCTTTCAGACTGGCTGTAGCACGAGTGAAATGTATGTAAGGACAGAGAACATTTGTGCTTTGCTTTGGAGTTTTTTTGGGTTTTTTTTGGTACCTTGTCATGGTTTTCCGTGAGGAACAGATGAACAGGTATCCTGCTTAACAGAGCTTAAAGAGAAACTGCTTGTATCCTAAGAAACCCACCAAAATCTCAGTTTATGTGTTTTAAAGATGAGGTGGCTTCATTAAAGATTGTAGGATCTTGTAGTTTTACTCCAAAGGAAACACTGCTAGCTCCACAGTTCAGCTGGCAGGGATCTGTGCCAGACCGTGGAGCTTCAGTCATATGCACAAGTCTTCTTGTGGTACTAAAAATCATTTAGTTTTCTTCTAAAGTCATGGACAAGGAGCTAAAATTGTCTCACTCAAATATGCATTTTTGAATTTCAGAATTAAATGTAATAAAGGAGATTTTTATTTTTATTCTCTTTTGATGAGACACGCAATGAGAGCATGAGGATGCAGCATTAAAGTATCTTTTGATTTGCTATTTGCTATGTGTTAAACATTTATATTTCAAAGAAGCGTTTGTACCTATACTGAGTGTTTGGCAAATCCAACAGCTCATTAGATGTTAACAATAGCAACACTGCTAAATACAAAGGATTCATAGGCAAAATACCCCTCAGGCTATATCTCTGAGAGAAAAAATGGCAAATAGAATCAGAAACTAATTAAATAGTCAGCTAAAGCGAGCATAACTTAAAAAAAGCTCTAAAACTACCAAAAATGGAAACATATTACAGTTATCTGCATTCACAGTGCAGAACAAGTTTGGTAGTATTTAAGATAATTCTCTAGTGCCTGCTATTTTTAGTCCAAGGGTAAGCTTCTGTAAGAGCCTTTCAGCGTTGCATCCCTTTAACCTGGCCTAACAAGCTAAGCCAGTAAGCTGTCTGATTTCCGTCTTACAGGAGGCAAAGAGATAGCTGAAACAAACCATTTGTGGTGCAAACGCTCAGCCTATCTTGTCTTAAGAGCTTTCTTTGTATGGATTTTTTTTTTTTTTTTCCAAATGTCTCAGTATTAAGCTTGCTTGTCAGAGACTAAATTGTCAGGCTTTGCTGTTTGGAAATGGTAGAAGCACAGGAATGAAAGGAAGATTTTATAGACTCAGCCTAATGGAAATAAACATTTCCGCATTGCCAATGGTGAAACCCGATCAGGGCGGTTTAAGCTATTGCTATTGATGTGTCTGAAGAAAAAGGAATGTATTTAGTTTTTCTTAGGGGAGGAAGGGCAGACATAAAGGGTCTGATTTCCTTCTCACTTACACTTAATCTGTCCTTGTTTAACTCCATCGGCTTTGCCAGGTTATGCTCTAACCCAAGGGAAGCCAAGCTGGAGTTGGCATTGTGCTCCCCGTGCCACCAGCACTCGGATTTACAGCACCCTTTGCCATCAAAATGGGCCAAGGCCAGATGCAGTTGTAAAATACTGTGGTGCTCATTGCACTCTGGTGTTTTGGTACTTCATGTGGGTAAGACTGCAGTGTTGCTCACTTACGGGTAGCTAGTCCTTTTTTATTAGAAATACTCTGTGGTAGGGCGTCCTTTCCCCTACTCCCTCGTGTGCAGCTATGTTTACTTTCTTGTCTCCCTGCTTTCTCTTTCTCCCCCCTTTTCCCCTCCCTACCCCCAGTGCTATGTGTAATCTTTATGTACATTTACAAAACAGGATTTTATTGCTTCCTAAACATGAGTAGTCCCACCTGCTCCTCTCAGCCAGTTGAGCAAGGCTTGGACACTCTCATCTTTGAATCTTTTCAATCTGTAATGCCCTTCCACTCCTTCTTCACCCTCAATTTGGGTGCTGAAAGAGCAGGGAAAAATATCTCAGTACAAAGGGAGGCTAGGCTTCCTTAGCCAAGAAAAGTAGGCTGTGTTGAACCCGGTGATCTGCAGGGTCCCATCTCTGGTTTAGTATTCAAATGGTTTCAATTTTCTTATTATTCTTTGGGTTAGGCACATCCCATGGGGTTTTGGCTGTGAATTTAGCAGCTATGCAGGCTCAAATTATAATTTGTGTTAGCTTCATCAGGGATAACTTCTAAACTGAAGATGCACTTGACATGAACAAATAATGTCAGTGTATTTCCAGTAGGGATTGCAAGCACAGCGTGTACCACTTTGTAGGCAAGATGAGCCCAAGTCACTTAAAAACTCAGTGTCTTAGTCGTAACAAGGCAGTGCTCAGCTGCAAAACCCACTTGGTTTTGGAGGAGAATTAGCCCTTGCTGGCCTGTGGCTGGACTGCTGTTAGTCCTGGTACAGATGCACCGTGTAGGAGCTGCTGTTCTCAGCTTAAGCATCAACATGCACATAGAGCAGAGGACCAGGTCCCTAGCTAATGTAAATCTGCATAGCTCTGTTAAAACCTGTGGAGAGGCCCTAATTTACTGCAGCTGAACATCTGTGTCTAAGTTCTTTTTCTTTTGGTTACCAGCAGGATTAAATAGAGGTACCCCAAATTATTTATTGTAGGTGCTGTGGCAGCATCTCAAAGCCCAGTGGTAGAGCAGGACATGGTTGTGAAAGGAGTTGTGTGAATACATAACAAAAAGACAGTCCCTGTCTAAAGGAACTTATGGCCTAATTAATAATGTTATTTAGTGCATTGTTAAGTACATCTGGACATGACTGCCTGTTCTGTGTCATCTTTTAAGAGGATGAAAAAAATATGCCCAGTTTGATTTTTGCCATTTCTGGTGGAAAAGGGACTGGTTAACATCAGTCCCTCATTAAAAAAAAAATGCAGTCTTTTACATCACACAGATGGAGGGCTCATGATCAGGAACATGCAGACTTTTAAAAGACTAGCAGAGAATGAGCAATAAATTCAGTCTTGACTAAGGAGTAAATAGAGGAGAGGCAACTACAGTGGGAACTGTAGTGTGCACCACAGTTTGCATGCAATACATAACTCTGCCAGACTGGTTGAGGGGAAATGGACATGGTAACGTAAACTAGCAAATTAGTTTTACATTTTATTGTCAACCCCATTTTATTAATATTATCTGTGAAGACTAGTGGGTTCCAGGAAGCTTAGAAACAAGCCAACAGTGGGCATGCCCTGGAGAAAACTGCAACAGATAGCTCTTCTGTGATTTTTTTTTTTATGTTTTCTGTTTTAAAATCACCATCTCTACTTTAAATTCTATTTGCATACACAAAATTGGATTAAAAAACAATAAAGTCTTAGCACTGAATGATAAATCAAGGAGATACATGGCTCAGGATATTATCAGACATGTACATATCTAAGTGTTTAACTGGTGGAAAATTCAGGTGCATCTCCTCATCCTGAAGGTTGTAGGGGTTTACCAGGTTTCACTGTTCAATCACTAGCCTTTTGAGGTGAGGATTTATCTGCTTGCTGGGAGAGGCTTTCATTTTATTTTTGTGGGACTGTGAAGGCACTCTGAAAAGCCTGGCAAAATTCACCTGTGATCTGTGCTTTAAACCCTATACCTGCTAGTATGTTCCTTACTGTGGGATCTCCACATTCTCATTTGGTGCTTCATTATAAGGGAGCCTTTATTGCTTTCAGCCTAGGACACTCATAATACAGGTACCTGAGGTTTATTTTATCTATCTAAACCACCTCTCTAAATGGTATGTGTGTCAGTCAACACATCTGCTAGTATGTACAAAGAAGGAGGACATTGAAGGACATTGCTGTGCCATCTAAAAATAATGTATAGCTACACAGGTGAAATATACAGGGGAAATACATGTTTAGTCTTGTAAACAAGTTTTTATGCTGTGTCTGAGTAAACTCTTAACCAA